CCGCAGTTATCGGCCTCGTAAAAGTCCAACTTTTTAGTTGCAGTCAATAAACTGGCGCAGGCCTTTTTCTGTCGCTTAAAACATTTGTCCAATTTAAATGTCGCGGACGACTGACTTCTTATTTTTTAACGTTTGCAAAAATAGGCCGCTTTTGGAATCGCGTATAAAACAGTCTCGAAATAAGCGCCAGAGCTTGACATCTGTCAGCCAAGTCTTTCGAAATGTGTAATCTTAAAAATCTTCAGGTTGGGCAATTCGATGGACAACCAAGAATTTCAATACTAAAAAGTTCCTCCTCACTTCTCAGAGAATCGTTCGATTTTCAAGAAAGATACTCCGCGATGGGAAAAAAAATGCACGAAGGAGAGAAGAAAAAGCCTTTGCTTTCTCTTATGCTGCCATAAAAAAACGAAAACTTTTTCCCCGAGGGCCTTTGCCCCACTCCCGTGTTTTTCTCGGGGCGCAGGTACTCATTTTATTGTGGGGACCCGTGGCTTGCGCACAAAAGGGTGGCGTGCGCCGAGGAGAAAGTTTTTTTCGCTTTTTAGGAAAAAAATCCTTGCGGAAAACTGTCAAAGGGGGAAAGCGCGCGAGAGTGACGAAGAAGAAAGTGTGACGGCGGGTGAGTGGGTTGCAGTGTTCGGGTAAAAGTCAACCTTGGGGCAGACGCCAAGCAGCAAACGGCGCTCGCTTTCGTGACGTGCAGCACGAACGACAGATTTTTCTTTAAATAGTCTAATCTATCGATTTACTCGCGTTTTCATGCTGACACTCCGACATTTTATGGATTCGTTTTGTAGAAACTAAAAGAAAAACGAAAGGAAAATGTGAATTCATAGTCGGCAGGAATTTGATTATCTGAAATGGAGTAAAGCTCAGCGAACGGCAACACGAGCAGCAATTTATACAACATCAGCGCGGGAACTTCCGTTTAATTCGAAGTGCCACTTGAATGAATCAGAGCGAATGGATATTTCGCGGATTGTACGAAGCATTAAATAAAAATGCACATGTATAATCGATACATTGCTATTGTTAGTGAAATAAAGCTCTCTCGGAAGCACAAATAAAGATGTAAACAAGCTGTTTACCGGAAAATTTGCCTATAGGTTTTGGCACGCGACAAGTGGCACACACTCGCTCGCTTGCACGCCGTATGAACATAAAATGAGAGCGTAGCGCTCAGGAGAAGGGGGAGACAGCACACAACAGCCATGTTGGCTGTCGCAGCACATAAACACTTATATACCGACAATTAAACTGCTTTTAAGGCCCCATAAAACTGCAGTTTCAATAATCTTGGTGACAGTCGCTCCTTCCGCTTTTCCTTTGCCAATCTGGTCTGCTCTAAAACACGCTTTTCCGGTATAAACGCACTCGCCTTTTACGAATCGCTGCGCGTTATATTACTGATGTTGGCGAAAATTAGCCACGAGATTCCGCCTCTTTTTTATTCGTGTGCACGAGCCCAAGATGAGGGGGATAAAAGCAGCTTTTATTGGCTTTTGCCAAGACACAAGCTCGAACGGATGAGCCGGTTGTAAAGTAGGCTTGACAGTTTGAGTGCTACATTAATCTCGACACGATCCTTAAATTTCTTTTTAATTTACGAGCATTGATTGTTTACTTTTTTTGCTCGTCATCCGGCGCATTTAAAACCGGCGCGCCGTGATTTACTATGATTTGATCGTTGAAAAATCTCCATATCCGATGCGAACGAGCGCGTGCCTCGATTGAACAGCGTTGCCCAATTGTTGCACCAGTTGGCCATTACGTCATGCATTTCGCGAGATGCAGCGGCAGAAGACATTCTTATAGGTCACCCGACACTTTGTCGCGCGAGCTTATACGAGGCAGATAAAAAGTCGGCGATGTGATAAGACCTGCTTTTGACATATGCAATACGTCAGATTCACGCGCGCGCTATCAAAAAAAGATGGCTCTCGATGCGATGTCAAACGACTACGTTCGATAAATGGGTGTCCTTTTGACACTGTATTCCGCAAATCGCTACTCTCATACGGTGTTTATTCCTCTTTCTCTCTGTGTATCAATATTGAGACTTGACGCGTTGTGCAACTGGCTCGTGCATCGGCTATCGTTGTATCTTGCGGCAAGAGAGAAAGCACGAAAATTGTTCAAACAATTGCAACATTGATTGAAATTTTATGTCTCGCTAACGAGTAAACTTTCGCGCGATAAAGGCCCATAAAGATTATATTGCCCGTGAATATTATGAGCGTTTAATTATACGAGGCCTGATAAAACGTATGCGATTACGCAAAGTCCACTCGAGGGAGCTGCTTTTGTTTTTACAAATTTTGTAACGCCCAAGCCGGGCTGTTTCGGTACAATAGCATCGTGTCAATAAATGTTCAACTAACTGCAAATAACATGCGACAATTTCGGGAATAATCAACAATAAACATGATGCGGCGCAGTTTGATTGCCTCGTGCATATTCATGAATTATAGAGCGAGCTCGGCATGGGTAATAAACGTCGCGAGGCGGTACGCACAAATTAATTTCATTTCGCCCGCGCAGCGTACAGCACGCGGTGACTCCAATTTTCCTGGCCGAAAGTCGCACGCCGAAAAGAAAAGGCAAAAACCAGAGCAAAGACAGAGAGAGAGAGAGAGAGAGAGAGAGAGAGAGAGAGAGAGAGAGAGAGAGTTTAGGGGAGAGGACTAACAGCAGCAGGTTGGGACGCGCGCGGCGGCGGCAGCCATCATCGAATGCTAATGAGGGGTTGGTGGCTGCGGAATGGAGGATCGCCAGAGCGTGGACTGATTATAAATTATGCATTATCTTTACCCTCCCGAAAATCCCAATCTTTCCTCTCTCTCTCTCTCTCGCTCTCCCTGCAAGAGAGGACGCCCAAGCGACTTTCCGACGGATTAGACGCCCAGAGAGATTTACGTCACGGTCTGCGTGTCATTGACGTTAGACGTGAGATGCTTCGCGATGTAATTAGGAGTCAAAAAGAAGACGTCCTCTGCGGGATATTCGCCTCGGTGATATTTGTAATTGAAGCTTTTATTTCGGAACATTGTTGCGGCGGATATTGTATATGAAAGTGAGAGGAATTTCATTTGCACGGGCGACTCTTGAGAAAATTTAATTAAACAATCTTAATGGACAAATCATTGAAGGTCGCGGCGCGCAACAGAAAATTACTTTAATTCTAAATTCCACCGGCAAAAGTTTCCATTAGGTGACGACGACGTAAGTTGTTGTGTCACGATAAAACTTTGTGGTAAAAAGGAAATTTTTTTCCACCTTTTTATAAAACTTCAAGATATAAGCTTAATTGACTTTTACTGCGAATTTTAATTACCAAGAATTGGTCATTTTTTTTACGTAGAAGGTCAGTTAAGTGCAATATAACGAGCGGTCAAACTTCAAAAGCGAGCTTGAAAAAAAATGAGACCACGTGAGACTGCGAAAACATTGGGATGGTGATATCACAACAAAATACTTTTTTTGATCGCGATAAAAACCCATAAAGATCCTTATGCAAATGTTAAATTACCCAGTGAACGCGTTTCGTTTACACGTCCCACGAAAAACTGCTATGAAAAAACGAAATTGCACTAAGAGGCAGGTATAATACGCAAAATCATTTTCTTCCCACCCTAGAAAAAAAAAGTACGTTGCCCATTTTCTGAACGCTCCATAAAACGGAAAAAAAGATGAAGGAAAATGTTGTCGACTTTTGGCTAACAATTTCGGCCTGCAGCAACAGCAGCAGCATGGAATCAAGTGCGGGCCACAAAAGCATAAAGGTCGGTACATAATGATTTTATGAGGTCTATGCGATGCCCCCCCCCCCCTTGCCACCTCATAGTCATTCTCTGTCTCTCTGTCTGTCTCTCTCTCTCTCTTCTCCCTTGGCTATGTCTGCCTGTGCTCGCAAAGATTCTCGTTTGTTTTCCTATTTCGAAAAGTGCTTTCCCCCTCCGTTTCAAAGTATACTCTCGTCCACATGGCACGCGAGGCCATTCGCAATGTCGGTCGAGCGACCAGCCAAATGTTACGCTCAAAGCGTCCTTCCATATACTAGCCGGACTTCTTGCAAAATAATGTATCTATTAAAAATAATCGTTGGAATTCCAAAGAATGGCTAAAATGTGTCGAGTACAACGAATAAAGAAAGAAAGCAAGAACTCATGATAAACGACGACAGTGTAAAATGAGTTATCGGGCAATCGCGCAATCTAAATTGCCGTTATAACGTGCGCTTAAGGTGCCGCGTGGAAGCACCTATACAAAAGATAGGATAAATTCCAGGCGATTATTTCATCGAGCACCCGCACCGCAACGTCAAGCTATAATTGGCACCGTACGAACAATAGTCCTCTTGTCTCTCCAATGTATGTCTACAAAAAGAAAAACGATAAAGATGCAAGTTGCGCGTCGTACGCGATCATTGAAAATAAGCGGACAATGAATTCCGGCCTTGGAAGACAAGTTCACCACCAGGAAAAAGAAAACCAAAAAAAAAAGATTTCAATGGCAAATTATCTTAGACGAGGCCTCAATGTCAATGGCACTGGTGCGTGCGATTTCGTTTATATAGGCGGCACACACGAATCGTCATACGCGCCCGTGTCAGTGTATTTATATGTCGCTACTGCGCTATTGCTTATGTTTGAGCAACCAACTGGTTTTGAGATTTGGATTTGCATAATTGTTACATTTGAAAATGGAATATTTTACTATAAACATCAATGTGTACAATCAAATCGCTTGGTCGATAGTGTAATAATAATTGTTCCATCAAGCCTCTGAGGATATGTATTTTTAAACATTAGTAATGCATAAAACTTGATTAAAACTGCCGACGTATTGAAATCAAATTGAATTTCAATTTGTATTACAGGTAGAAACATGCGACTTTGAAACTATAATCTTAAAATTTAATGAGTTTTTTTCGCTGTTGTTATGACCTTTGCGTTAATGTAAATTGAAAAAAAAAAGAAGTGTCGAATGTTACTCACCGCACATAACCCTATCGAAGGGGCTCATCCAATCTGTAAAATAAAGAGAATCTAATTTGTTATAAACAAAAAATTCAAATATTACTTAGCCTACAAAATGATACCCTATTTTACGAGTGAATATTAAAGCGATTATGGAAACAAATTATAGTGAGGCCAATTTTCATTTAATGGTATTAATTATGCATGCCTTATATGTCTAAATACATGCTATCTCGCATTCAACAAAAAAAAGAAAAAAAAACAAAAACCACTACTCGCGGAAAGATAACAAACGTTGTGCGCGCACGCTTACTGCAAAAATTATAATGAATAAATAATGCTAATTCGAGAATGTCACTTAACTATTTTAATGCATTTAGGAAACTTTAATGACGATTGGGAGAATTAGCATCGGTATATAGAATTGATGATGATTATATCGAGGAAAAGTATACGATCCAAGTATTAATTAATTAAATTATAATCAAGTTTAGTTACTTGGTTACGTTCCCAACGAAGCTTTGAAATTATTTAAGAACGGAAATTGCCGCAAGTTTAATTAAAGTAATCTCTCTTTCGGTTGCAACAAGCAATATGGTCGCGTCGCAGCTTTACACAGCAAAATCACCTCCGAGTGCATTAGTGGTCATCGATAAAAAATATTTGAATGCGCACGTGGATCGATTAATAGTAGAAGCTTGAACGAGCGCGCATGTACCCATAGTTAATATATTATTTTGCCATTGGAGTGTTCGCTGGAGAAACGGTTAGTTTTGCATAAATGCATCAACTACAAATTTATACATTTGGTCCGCGCGCAGTTTTACGTCGGTAATGCGCAAGAAACATGAATCACTCGGGGTAAAAAATTTGGGAAATGCAATTTCTAAGCAATCCCACGCCGTGCGCGCTCCTGAAACAAGTGTTTTACGTAAGAAACGATGGTAGTTGGGAAATGGCACGCCGAGTCAAAGTAAAAACTACTTTCATCGGCTAGGCGGCGTGATCGGTACTTTTCGATGTAAATAACCCGGCAACGATAAAAGGATGATGAAGAAAACGTTTAAAAAAGAAAGAAAAACGCAAGGCAAGCGCGAGTTTTTGAAAAGTTTGCGCGGAAAGGCAGCTGCCGGCAAGCGACGGCAGAGCAAGCACGCAGACATCCGTCGGCCGTCGGAGAGCAGCGCGCGCTCGTGGAAGAGGAGGGGTCTCTACCGCGTATCGTTTACAACTTAAATCCGTAACAATGGGACTTTAGCTTCTCTTTTCATTTTTCGCGCAATAATCGTCGTCGTTTCGCATGCATATCCTTTTTTCTGTTACCGTTGTTATTTATCTCATCGGCGCAGTCAGCAGGGCAGGTATTCGCGAGCGGCACACGCTCTGGCCATTATAGAAAAAGTATACAAAAAGACAACGAGCAGCTCGTAAAATCTCGACAATCATAACAAACAGAAAACGCGCTGGCTGGCTGGCGACAATGGGCAACTCATTCATCGCCTCCGCTTTGTTGTCGCGAGCGCGCGACAATTAGCGCGCGCTTTCGGCCTCACTGAGCGCGCGGCCTATTGCATTATCGTGGCGTTTCATGCAGCGCGAGCGAGAAGAGATAAGAGAGCTTGAGACTCACCGGTGATGGACATCCAAGGATAGCGCGGAATCTCGGGTATGCCCGGTTGACCAGACGCGGGTTGTTGGCACTGTCCTAGAGGATCGACAACGCTAGCAGCCGCCGCGTGTTGATAGAATTGCGCAGCCATGGAGGTCATCGAAGCAGCCGACACGGAAGAAGCCGAAGCCGACGAGACCAAGCTGCCGGGCGTCGAGCCATTCTGATGATGATGTCCGATGGTGTAATTAACCATTGGATCCGCGCTGCTCGGGGCGACGTTGCCGGTCAGACTGGCGGTATACCTGCAGGATTTGTCGGCACTGGCCGCATCCACGGCCGCGGCAGCGGCCAGAGCTGCACTCGAGGCCGCGGCGGAGCTGCCGAAAGTGGGCACCATGCCGGAGCTTGCGCCGAAGGCGGCCGCGGCGACGGCTTGCTGCTGCTGATGGTGATGGTGCGCGGCCGCGGCCGACACGTAGGGGTACATGCTGGCTGCTGCGGCGGCTGTTGCCGCCCTGGCCGCCGGCGAGGTCGAGGCAGAACTGCTCGACGGGCTCGAGCCGGTCGGCGACGGCGACGACTGTTGGGTTGCGGAGCCGGCGCCGCTGCTGCTGCCGTAGGCTGCGGCCAACGATGACTCGAGGCTTGACTGCGAACTGGGTCCCGTGGCCGTCACGGCGGACGACGAGCACGCGCCTGACGGTGTCACGCCGGAGAAGAGCTGCTGGTACGGAGACTGATGCTGATGATACTTCGGGAGCATGCTATCGATTATGAACTTGGAACTCATAGCGCGCGGCGCATCGCCCGTTCACGCCGGGGTCGCCTGGGGGTGCTCGTCGTGCTCAACGTCTCTACGCGCTCGAGCTGTGTCCGCGGCGCAGTTTCGAGATCGCGTGTGGCGGGTTGCTGGGGCGTGCTCACCTGCTGCTGCGGCTTCGGCTGTCGCTGTTGCGCACGGGCCCGGCAGCGCGCCGACCAAGTGCTCGCAGTGGCGGCGAGTGATTGTTCAGCGCGACCACTTCGCGGGAGTGTCGAGACGCGCACTGAGGAGCGAAGAGGCGCCACTACTCCTGCACGGGCCGCACATCGCGTGCACACACGCAGCGGCGAACGCCTAGGTTGCTCCTGCGGCTGCTGCGCGTCCCTGCTGCTCGTCTTCGCCTCGCTCTGCACTCGCGCACGCACTGAGATGGCACACTGACCGATCGATGTCCACGACGACGTCGGCAGACGGCAGACAATGGCAAGCAGCACAGCCGAGTGTGCGTGTGCACGTGCCTGGCTGCTTGTCAGAAGCCAGAGAGAGCCTGCGCTCTCAGCTGATCCAAGAGTGAGACTGGTGCGTGTGCTTGACGATCGACAAAAAATTAAGAGCGCTTGACTGCGCGCAGAGCGAGTGAGAGAAGAAGAAGAAGAAGGAGGAGGAGGAGGAGGGAGCCCGCGCGGCAGCGCGTCGCGCGAGATCTACGCGAGCCGAATGTGCTCCAGAAAAGAAGCGAGGCCTCCTGCGCGCGATTAGACACACACGAGAGATGAGCCTTGTCGAGCCTCTGCCAGCAGTCAGGTGTGTTAGAAGCCGTTTTCTTGCGTACTTCTCGGATAGTCGACGAATCCTTTATGGGCCATGCATGAAGGTACTATAGCCCCCTATCCCGAACGCCGCGTACTAGCCGCTCGCGCTCTCTCTCTCTCACTCTCTCTCTCTTTCTCTCTCTCTCTCTCTCTCTCTCTTGCACACACAAACACACATGCGCATGTGTAACCCCTTACAGTAATGGCGCCCCGCCGGCGCTCCTAACTACGTGTGTGTGAGTGTTTGCGTTGCCCCCTCCCCTCGCGCTCTCTCGCTCTCCCGCCACACAGCTGGTAAACAGAACCGACCAATCGCTCGTCAGCCGAGTCTAGCAAGCGGCCAATCGCGAGCCGCGCTTCTTTCCACGCTGACTTCGCGAGCACGAGCGAGCCACGTTGCTTGCCCGCCTTTCTCCTCGCCGCTGCCGCGCGCATGCAAGCAGCCGACCAGCGAGACGGAGAGAGAAAGAGAGAGAGCGAGAGCAAAAAGGCGCATAGAGAGAACGATGACGGCCCGGAAAAATAGCGCGCTCGCTGCGCCAAATAGCCGCACTCTTTTCCTATGTGCACTCGGCCCATTATTACTTCTCTAAAACTTACCCCTAGCTAGCTGATAGTGTCAATTGTGCAATGGAAATCCGCTGGCTTATTCGCCTTCTTTACGCTACTCAAACTCGGCATTGATTTATTACTACGGGCATAGAGTAGCTGCTTGTATACCTCTATTCCTTTTGTGCCGAGTGACTTATGGGCACAGTTTTACGGTTTTGCGCGTTTTGAATTTCAATCGGTTAGACAATGGCAAATTATCTCTTTGCCTTTGGAGTGCGAGCTACTGATTGTTTCTTTTAACTAACGATCATTGAATGATAATCGATTTCTGTAATGAGTACTCACCGACTCCGTTTTCTTCGGATCCTGAAACAAAGTTGGAAAAGGTTAATTCGTTTTCGAGAGAGATAAACTTGTCGAAAATTAATCAGGATGATCGAATGACAAGTGTTATAAAAAAGCAACCCCCCCCCCCCCAAACTCCCCAAATATCGAGCGTATCAAAAACCCAATCGGCAGAACCTAAGAGTCCATAAAAGAAGACTGTTTTGACAGGTGAATCGTTACTTCACCAGACTTGGACGAGAAAGAAGAGTGAGCCCACCAATATTCAACTTCATAAGCCCAGATAATTTTCAAACGATTCGACAATAAACTTGCACCTCAACTGTGGGGTAATAAAACTTTGCGCCATCTCTTCAGAGGGTTCCACGCGCGCGCGGTTACTCAGCGAACCGCATGCACAAAGACAAAACGCGATTCTGCCTTTGAAAAAAATAATGAGATATAGGTATTCTTAGGCGTGGCTCTCTCTCCCTCTCTCTGGCGTCGTGGCACCAGGTATTCATCATATGACATGTGCGGTTTAAAAAATCTGTTTCCCGTGGCCGCGCCCATGTGCGACAGACAGGGCGGCCCTTTGTAGGCAAGGAGATGAGCTTTGGATCACAAAAGGCTGCGCCATGTTTTCTCGCGCTTGTCGATGAAAATCTTTTTTGGCCCGCTATCCATCTGTTGCTTGTGTTGCGAGAGACAGAGGGAGTAGGTGTCTATCTGACGTTTTTATGGAACCTCGAAAGAGGAAAAGAAGAGCGGAGAAAGAGAAGAAATTATTGTTGATGTTTGTTGACCATACCGTTGTACAGTATGTATAAGGTACCAGTAACAGCGGCAAACCTTTATAGAACGCACAATGTGTAACGAATTGCGTTCCAAAGTGCTTTTTAAAAACCTCTTATCGCTGTCGGATCGCTGACAGCTCGCTCGTCGTCGTTTATTTCATGCTGCTTTCCGGAAATTGTGCATATATATATATATATGCAAGCATACATGTGAGAGTGGCAGGTTGATTTTTTTGCTTTTATTTTCGTGGGCTATAAAGGCAGCTAATCATTGTACTTTTTACCGCCATAAAATTCATATTTACATATTCATTCACGAGACTTTCATGTGTCATAAATTTATTACCTGTTGTAACGATCATCAAAAAATTGTTAACGATCTCAAGAGAAATTTCTCTCTATAGTAATTGATTGTTTTAAACCGCAAATTCATGAAATTCATGACTTTCTCATTTTTATTAATTAGCTACTGCAAAAAAGTAAATAACCCAACTACAACTTCAGCAATAAATTTACTTCTGTTTAGTCCGATGAGAGAAGAGACTATTAGAAGTGAGTTTGCGAAAAGTAACTGATTTCGTTGATATTTAAGAATTACGGGAACTCGCATAGTTTCCCACGAGAAACGACGCATTAAATTCCAATCGTAGGATCGGTCGAAAGTGTGACAACCAGTGTCTCTTCACACGGCATCGCGTCGTTTTCAATTGCGTGGGAAGTGCAACGTCCTAGCCGCGAATACAACAAAAATGCCAGCCAGGTAACGCCCGTTAGAGGCGCGCGAGAGCGCGAGCGACGTGACCGACAGCTTATTTTTCAGATCGATATACCCAGTGGCTAAGCTATAGTTGTATTCGAGCGCGTATAATGCAACATCCCCCCTCTCTCCCCCCGCCGCCTGCCCCATCTCTCGCGTGCCGAATTCGATGCACGTATAGATCAAGCATAGCATAGAGCCACACACGGCCTAAACCAGTCTAGGTGCAAATGCACGTAGCGCCACTCACTGGCCATATACGCTCTGAATTCGTCGCCTCGACGCCGCGTGCGGATCCGGCAGGTGACTCACGTACATATAGCATCGAACGAGCCTAAGTGCGAGAGATGTATTTTTAAGAGGCTATACTCCTGGCAGAATATATATAACACTACTGCATTCTTTTTCTTCTCTCTTTTTCTCTCTCTCTCTCTCTCTCTCTCTCTCACACACACTTCAATGTCGACTTTGTTTTCCCGCGGTTTATCTATTTAACGTGTTATTTATCGGCGTATTGTGAGGAATTTCAATGGACAGTTCTTGTTTCAACGAGAGAAAAACTTGTGGTTTCGCTTAAATTTATTTCTGAAATACAGTTACTTTTTTAAGAAAATCTAGAAGTATCCTTCCGTCAGTAGGTTATTTATCGTTTAAAGCGTTAAATGTTAATCAACAGTTAATTCTTTATAAAATGATGTAATTTTCTAAATATTCCGATTAATAGGTTTTAAAAAGCCTTTCGCTGTTTAAAATATTCAATTGAAGTTGCTTCAAACATCAGTTACTTCACTTAATTCGTGTCATTGACACTATGTCGTACAACAAACATGAACGTTCATTGTGAAGTTTAATTGTTATCGTCACAGACTGCAGTGAAGCTGAATTCATTATACGTGATCAACTTATGAAGTGCGTAGTTGTTGATATCGTAACAATGTAAACATTGAGATACTTCAATTAAAAAAATTTATTTGAATTCTACAGCTTACTACAATCAACAACAATAAATTTATTATGCAATATAGTTGATAGTCAATTTTTAATTTAAAAAAAAGGTTTATCACTCGAACAGAGTTTTTTCTCTTTGCAAAATTAATAATTAAAATTACAGAGTTTTTGATAAGCGTTCAACATTACTAATAACTCAGAAATATCAGTCAACTTAAAAATTAACAAAATGATAAAGATCAACAAAAAAAGTGAATAATTCACGATATCTAAAGGTAAAGGCTGTGCACAGTGGCTAATCATTCGCGAACGATAAGTCGAGCCTGCGAAAGACCCGACAAGCAGTCGATAATTCGGTGTATGCGTGCAGTGCGCGCGCGCGCGCGTCTCACTCCTCTCACAGGGTGTAAATTGCGGCTGCGCTAACAAAGCTACGCTGCCACCGACGTAAAAAAAAACACGAGAAAAATGGAGGAAAAAGGAAGAAGGCAAAGCCTCGTAGATATCCGAGAGAGAGAGAGAGAGAGAGAGAGAGAGAGAGAGAGAGAGAGAAAAGGTTTTTCAGAATTCGCCTGACGCGGCAAAATGTGCGTTTAGCTGACTATAGCGGGCGGGAGGAAATGGGCGGTGGTCCCCAAAGTCACTGCACAGGGCTGCTCGCTGCCGCTGAAGACTCAAACACACCTGGCGCGCCATCTACTTGAGGATTACCGCACAGTCCGTCTCCTTTTTGCGGATCTTCCGCTTCTTCTTCTTCTTCTTCTTCTTCTTCCTGTCGTGTCGCCTCGCGATTCAGGAAATACCGAGTGCGACGTCGGAGTTTTCTCAAATCGCAGTGCATCCTCTCACCCACATACATACACGCGCCAAACGCTTTTGCTTAGGTCCGATTTCCCTTACTACTGCCAGACATGCACTTTTAGACTCTCTCTCTCTTACTCTCTCACTACATTCCTTCCCCTTACTTTTATCTACCCAGAGTCACTTACTCGCGAGATGGGGCTATTACTTACTATTTATTTTTAAAGAAAGACGAAGAAGCGCCGAGTTAGTTCGTAAATGTTTATTATCGCCTGACTATACGCTGCTGGAACTACTTGCCTGCTT